ATCATACCTTCATTCTGCTACGATCACTAATAATTGCATCTTAACGCCTCCTCTAGCAGAGAGTAATATAATAGAAATAATAGATATAATAATAATATACATAGTCGATGACATATTATATTGACATATGCATGGTTTGTTACACCAGAGTGTACGTACATGCATATATATAATTTAGGATTTAGAATAGTAAAAACTTTTACCTTGAAATTAGTTTTCCTAGCTTTCATGCTTGTAAAATCACGTGCTACGCTAACTTTTACCGAGGTCAGCTTTTTCTCGGTCTTTCTGCAGTAACAAAGAAGGTATGCTACTGTTTAGTGTTTACATTAACATACCTTTCTCTACAATCACCGCTAACCGCCTCCAAATGCCTCTAACATGGTCCTCTAACGAGGTCGTTTAACGAGGTCCGTGTTTCCCCGGATCTCTCTGCAGTGACGAAGAAGAAGCTCAAGCTATTTCTCAGGATGTACTACTGCTTACGTTATCATACCTTCCTCCCAATGCCTCCTCTAATGAGGTCCGTGTTGTTTTATCATTCCCGCTCTCTATCTCTCTCTCTGCAGTGACGAAGAAGAAGCTCAAGCTATTTCTCAGGATGTACTACTGCTTACGTTATCATACCTTCCTCCCAATGCCTCCTCTAATGAGGTCTGTGTTGTTTTTATCATTCCCGCTCTCTATCTCTCTTTCTGCAGTGACGAAGAAGAACATTAAGCGTACAGAGAGCGATCAGTTCAGCCTGCGTAGCAGTCGGTCGAGTCTGGAGGGAGCGGTCGGCGGCTGGGGCAGCGTGGGCGGCGGGGCGGTGAGGCAGCGGTCGCTAGCGAGCTGCGCGGACCTGCACACCATGGAGAAATCCGCCAGCGTTGCCAGCATCGCATCGTTTACGTCCCGAGAGGTGCGTATTTTGCTGGTATTTTTAATACCAAGAGGTTTTCTATGGCTCGAATATAAAATACTGCTAAAGGAAGGACGAGTGTTGCCTTGAGTTCACATAGAAATTCTAGGACATCAGTACAAGGCCATCGGGTACCAATGCAAAAAAATTCCCATGTAAATGATGGCCATCAAGGCAACATGCTTTTCGTCAACACTTTCCATCTGTAATAAGAGCGATACATGCGTACACAGCATATAATTAATGGGAAGGGTGCAGAGACGAATGCCGTGAATATCGGGCAGGTTTTCAAGACAGTCTTTTTCATGGAGAAAAAATCTGATAAATGCAATAGTGTTGAGTAGTTAAAATGCAAAAATTTCTCAGTGATACAGTACAAAACAGTGCTAAACAACATGAAGAAAAAAATATATACACAAAAAACTTTAGGATACTTGTACAGAATATGCTGAAGTGTTTTTTTGTAAGTAGATGGAGCAATCACAGTACTTGCTGCTGCCAGTGCCATGGAGAAATTCGAGCGCTGGGTTAATTTTCACAGTAGTATTGCTGAGAGGGTCTATGTCTCCCAGGGTACTGCCGGAACGTACCCTGGGGGACATAGACCCTATGAGCAGTAGTATCTCAGTGCCCCCGACCATAATTAACCTACAACGACTTAGTGCTGGTGCGTGTTTTCTTCTGTGCCACCACTGTGTTAAATTTTCGCCATTTTCAACTTTTGCTGTAAGTGATTGAGTATCATTGCAATGTTTTACTGTATCTTTGCGGTGAGTCTTCGTATGAGTAACACAGGTGGTGGCGTGCAACATCAGAAATGAAGGTGGAAATTAGTGGCATGCAGCATCGGGATGATGTTAGCATAAGATAGCATATAGATGTTAGTTTTAACTTTCTGAAATTAACTTTATGTTGTGGAGTGGCTGACTTGAAGACTGTACAGTCAATTCGCCCTCCCTCGCTGAGTTTTTTTAAAAATCGTTGTGACATTTATGTAACCATGTAAATTTTGAAAGCGTGAATAAATTTCAAAATCTAAAAGAAAATCTCTAAATCTAGCTGTGGCTGTGGCTGTGATGAAGGTTATATGTGGGAGGTCATGCGTTTCTCGTTGCGAATTTCAGTCTCTGACGTCGCTAGGCAGGTTATCGAACACCGGAGACCTCGGCGTGAGGCTGTGCAGAATCCGACTTCCTAACGGCAGTACTAGCGTCATGCCGGCCAATCCTGGTGCGTGAACGTAGTCACGCGGACGTAGGAATCTAAATAGCAATAGTAGCAAACTACGTAGCAATAGTAGCAACCTATGTAGCAATAGTAGCAACTGCTATCAAAAATTTGGGTGGTGGTGAGGGTGTGGGTGGTGGTGAGGGTGTGGGTGGTGGTGAGGGTGTGGGTGGTGGTGAGGGTGTGGGTGGTGGTGAGGGTGTGGGTGGTGGTGAGGGTGTGGGTGTGGGTGGTGGTGAGGGTGTGGGTGGTGGTGAGGGTGTGGGTGGTGGTGAGGGTGTGGGTGGGAGCCTGGGGGTGTGATATGCATTGTCATTATTCAACTTTATTATCGCAGCCCTTTACTGCAAAAATGCAAATGTTCAAGAACACATAATTAATAATAAGGGGAAGCGTGCTGTAGTCCCTCTAGACATTCTAAACAGCGGCATATTTATTTATTAATGCAAATCAAAACTTTTATGCAATGCAATTTACCATAGTTAATTACAGCCATCCAATTGTGTCTGCGCAGTTGATAATTGATACAGTTTCGAGTCAGTATAGATAATTGTGTCTAGACATTTTGTTCATACAGGCGTGAGTCCGTGCAGTTTTCTCTCAAAAAAGTCTATACAGTTGGTTCTTAGCAGAGCTGACCATGATACCCTTTACATTTCTACGTCTGTGCGGCTTTCTGCAAAAGCGCACGTGCACCGTCATAGCTGCACACCTGCACGGCCGTGAATCAGTTCCACGTAACATGCTCACGCTCGAGCACCGACGCGCGCACACACTGCGCACGGCTGCGTACCTATTGTTCCATATGCTTTTGAAGAGATCTAGCGACTCGCGCAGCCGGTTGGTGGAGGCGTCCTCGCGCAGCACCATGTTGAAGCTGCTGCAGGCCGTCACATAGATGATCGCCGTCACGTCGTTGAAGCACTGGATCCATTTCCGCCGCTCGTCTCGCTGTCCTCCTACGTCAAACATGCTGCGGACATCAGAGAAAACACAGAGTGTGTCAGCGGGGACTGCACTGCGACGCTACACCCGGTCACGCGTGCAAGACTGTGTACTGCGACGCTACGCCCGGTCACACACGCCAGTCTGTGTACTGCGACGCTACGCCCGGTCACACACGCCAGTCTGTGTACTGCGACGCTACGCCCGGTCACACACGCCAGTCTGTGTACTGCGACGCTACG